CGTGTTTAAAGGACTTGAACTCTGTGACAATTCAAGCCATCCCATTTGTTCAACATGCTTAAAGGACTTGAAGTCTGTGAGCATTCAAGCCATCCTATTTGTTCAACATGCTTAAAAGACCTGAAGTCTGTGAGCATTTAAGCCATCCTATTTGTTCAACGTGTTTAAAGGACTTGAACTCTGTGACAATTCAAGCCATCCCATTTGTTCAACATGCTTAAAGGACCTCAAGTCTGTGATGATTAAAGTCATCCCATTTGCTCAACATGTTTAAAGGACCTCAAGTCTGTGATGATTAAAGTCATTCCATTTGTTCAACATGTTTAAAGGACCTCAAGTCTGTGATGATTAAAGTCATCCCATTTGTTCAACGTGCTTAAAGGACTTGAAGTCTGTGAGGGTTAAAGTCATCCCATTTGCTCAACATGCTTAAAGGACCAAAAGTCTGTGAGGGTTAAAGCCATCCCATTTGTTCAATGTGCTTAAAGGACTTGAAGTCTGTGACCATTTAAGCCATCCCATTTGCTCAACATGCTTAAAGGACCAGAAGTCTGTGAGGGTTAAAGCCATCCCATTTGTTCAACCCTCTCCTCTTCAGAATAAACTATGACTCATCTGTGATAATAATATAGATAAACAACAATTCTCAGTGATCCAAAAATCATGTTTTCATTTTTTTCTCTTCTAGGCCTTCTGGAGCAGTATACCAGACATTTCGGAAACAGTTCATACTTTTCACTCTTTACTCAAGTAAGTTGTGTTTCAAGTTTTAAAAAATTAAATAATACGCTTAGTTAGACTGATTAAAATATAAATTGTAGAAGAAAACATCTCATATCTGTTTGAGTTTTATTTGAATTTAAATAATTTTATGAATGAATAATAACTTTGTGAGTTTTTTACTTTAAAGATTTTCTTGTTTATTTCAAAATATTTCTGTTACTTTTATATTAACTTACGTTGATTTCTTGCAGGCTTCCTCCAGATCCTACAGTTTTTCTACCAGAGAGGTTGTCTCTACAGACTACGTGCTTTAGGAAAACGTTACAATATGGATATAACTATAGGTAAAGAAAGATATTTGTACTTATTCAAAGAAAAACTTACAGCAGGAAAAAATAAGAATAACTCCAACTTTCATTTTTCATCACCAGGTAATCCTGGGTGATATCAGCTGAGCTTAATGAATCTTCATCAACTGTGACACTAAACTCAAGATGATACAGCTACATATACTTAAACCTTAGAACATGTTCTGTAAACATGAAACTATAATTAGTGTTATATTCAAGCAACAGACATTTTGGTGCATGCAGTTCACATTGTGTTGGGTTTTGCACTGAAAACATTTTTCACACATCAAAGCGTTAAATTTTAGATTTTTCTGTTTATTTAAAACTGAGTACTAAAACGTTTTGATATTATAATATTACTTATCCATCTGTGTTTGATAAAATATTAGTATACGTTATTCATGGTATGAGTACAAACCTTTGGAATGTTGTGAAAGAAACCTATAACAAGAAATAAGTTAATATTTTTCTCTGTCTGTCAGTCAGAGGAACTGTTTAGCTCTCGGTATGTAATCGTTGTAGGAACGCTCTGAACTTGGTAGCATTCTTATAATTTTTATAAACATCAAAGGCTTAAATAAAAAATGTAAAACAGGAGAATATTTACATTATTCTTCAGTTTCACGTGCTATAAGTGTTAAACAATTAAAGTGAAGGGGTGAGCATGGTTTAGTCGTTAGTATGACATGCTGTAAAACAGATTATCCAAGGTTTGAGCACACAATATACTAGTGACTGCACTTTCAGCTGTGAGAGACTTAAATTATCTATGACATTCAAAATGGTGTCTTAGATTTGTTTTTATATTAGAATTATTAGAGGTAAAGTTACAGCTGATTTTCTGTAGTATGTGTTAGAGAAAGTGCCATCAGAGTGTTGGAAAAATGGATTTATACCTCAGCTTGTATGCATGACAGAAATATTTTTTTTACACAATTGGAGAGTTAGTGTCTTTACGTCGTGCACTGCTCCAGTTTCGAGATTATTTTGCTCTTACAGTGAACGTGAAGTCATATAATCAGTCACTGGATGTGTGTTTACAGAATTTTTCTTCCTTATATTTCTGTAGTTTTATTTATTCCAAAGATTACTTGTTTAAGCAATAAAACTACATAATTACTGTGATTTTCCAGAGGGATTTCATTCCTGGATGTGGAGGGGTCTTAGCTTTCTTTTACCATTCCTCTACTTTGGCTATGTAAGTAGTAAAACTTTGGCTATGTAAGTAGTAAAACTTTGGCTATATAAGTGGTAAAACTTTGGCTATGTAAGTGGTAAAACTTTGGCTATGTAAGTGGTAAAACTTTGGCTATGTAAGTGGTAAAACTTTGGCTATGTAAGTAGTAAAACTTTGGCTATGTAAGTAGTAAAACTTTGGCTATGTAAGTAGTAAAACTTTGGCTATGCAAGTAGTAAAACTTTGGCTATGCAAGTAGTAAAACTTTGGCTATGTAAGTAGTAAAACTTTGGCTATGTGAGTAGTAAATTTATTTAAAAGATTGAATTTGTATAAAGTTTGTCAAGTGCATCGAAACCACTGATGGATAATTGAAGCAGTAGTTGTGAAGTAAAATAATACGTAATATTTCAAACTTTGCTATGTACAGTAACTTATTTAGTATGTTAAAGAAGAGCATCGGTTTAGTCATCATTTCAATCACTCCTAAAATCGGAAATTGTTCTGAAGAGGGAGCATTCTATCAATACATTTTAATACCCCAAATAGTAAAATTATCAAAATAGTTTTGTGTATCGTAGATGTAAACAAATTTATTACTAAAAGATTGAATAACTTTTTCTCAGGCATTCCAACTATACAATGCCTACACACTATACCAACTGAGTAAAAGTCCAGAATGTGCTGATATGTGGCAGGTCAGTAAGTCACTGTTTTCAACAAGTTTCTATTTAGAAAATACATATAAATAAGTTTATAAAATTGTATTGCATCTGAGAAATGAAAAAAATTGACAGTGAAAAGTTTATTTGAATACAATAATATCAAATAATCATAAGTTGTGAAAAAAAATATATATATACAGTATTTACTTTTTGTGAAATAGATAAAATTTAACACAGTGCTTAGGAGTTCAAACTAAAATACTGTAACAGCACCATATTGTAGCTCATTGATATGCATGATTCTTTATATAGGTCCCAGTGACAGCATTCAGCCACCTAGTGTTGTTTCTTGGAAACGCTATCACTACTTCTCTAGTTATCCAGCAGAAGTTGAAAGAAAATTTTCCATATAAAAGGCTAATCAACACATAGATTTAAGTTATAACATATGAGTGAAATAAAAGGGAAATCAGAGCTTTATTTAAGTCAGTGTATAATAAAATTGAGGTCAAGTTCACCTTGATTTTGTATACAGATGTATGCACAAAATGTTTTTTGTCAGAATATTTCCAAGCTTTTAAATATGAAAAATTCATTTAACTTCTATTGAATCAAAACTCGATGAACAGAACATTTTTCAAATAAAATTTGTAATTTTACTTACAAATCTTATAGATACATAATTATAAGAAATTTCACGGCGTACTTGTTTGTGAAAGTTACAATAAGAGTTTTATATAAAAATCACACTTGAAGCTTGAAAAAAAAAAATCAAAATGATTTAATTAATGAAATAAAGATACCTAGTTTATCTCAGGTAATGTAATATCTTAGTATATCCACACGAGAACTGAGTAATGGCAGCTAAGAATTATGAAAAAAACACCTAATGGAGTTCATCTTAAGATATAGACTAGTATTTCACACAAAAAAAGAATAATCCATAACAATATTCATTTTTAAGAGAATTGTTTAATTGTGTATATAGCAATGAGTTCTAAGTTTTTTAGTTTAGAAATTTAGTTTAAAAAAAAAAGTTCAGTATAAAGAGCAATTTGCTTTGTTTCATTAGTGTATGGATTTAGAAATAATTTAAACCTAGTTGAATTTTGTGGAATATTATTGGAATTACAGCTAAAAATATCATTATCAGTGAGAGAAGTGGGCACTGGTATACTGAAGCTAAGAATTATGAAAAAACACCTAATGGAGTTTATCTTAAAATGTAGACTAGTATTTCACACAGAAAAAAAGAATAATTTCTCAGAAAATAATCTCGAGACTTTTGAACGAAAATAAAAATATGCCTCAACCAAATAAGTAAATACTGTTCTATGAAATAAAACATTGGAAAAGTACGAGTTGAAGACGCTCTTAAGCCTACTTTTTTTTCTCAACAACGACCGAGAATATTAAAAAAATTTTCTTTTAAGATGGTGCAACAACTAATTATTCTTGTTAAATAAATGATGCTCTTGAAATGGTTTTGCTCTCCATTTAAATTTTGTGATATTTAAAGGAACAAAAATGTTTAATCATGTCAATGTGAGAGCAAAATAATGTCATTATATGTTTAAAAATAATCCCCCTTGTTGATAAGTGGTAAATTTTCTAAACAACCTTTATCAAAACCAGTTAGAAGAACAGGAGGAAATTGAAGTCAGTATTTGTAGTCTTTCCTTATATATTTCACAATCCTTTTTAAATATTTCAACAAGACTGGATTCAAGAAACTCGCATGGTATTAAAGGTTTCGTCATAATAAACCAGTGCTATCTTTTGAACACTTGTGTAATGTTCAGTTGTTGTATTACACACGCGATAAACTTCATTGATGAACTAAACGGGTTTCAAACTTACGATTTAAGAGCGCGTGAAAACATTCTATTCGAAAGAAGTAAATATATTTAGTTTTAGGTTTCAGTTTCTTTAATAGGAGACATTCTAATATTAATACCGATTTTTTTAAACATATTACGAACGTTTGATTTATTCATCGGGTTTCGTACATAATGTTATTATTTAAATCGGTTCAAAACTGGTAAATGAAAGAAAATTGCTTTTAAATCATATACAACAAGATTATGAACCGGCACGCCCTTAGACTTGACCTACAGATATATTATAAAAATATTTAAACGGAAAAAATTAAATCGGACGCGTTTTATTTATATTGATAAATTTTACTTTATTACAGTTTACATTCTACTCCATAAGTCATATTTGATCATAACCCATGGGTAGTAGTTAGACGTACGATTTAACAGAAGCCTAAAATAATCGTCAGCCAACCCTGTAATCTTTCACTAAGTGACTTTATCGTTATGTTCAACCGTTAAAATGGGGAGGGTGTTGAGGCCATGCCTGGGAATTCACCAGTTTTTCGATGTCTTGTGATTTCCTGATAACTTGAAATGAGGTAGCTGTTCCTGCTGGAACAATTTTTTTTTGTAATAGGACTGTTAAAATAAATTAAACAATATCGAAACACCCGTATATTGTGGGTACTACGCACGCGCAGCACCTTTAATTCCGCGCTTTCGAATACACACGTGGTCTTCGT